TTAAATGTGTTTATGGGATAAATAGAACGTTTGAGGTTGTCTTAATTACAGCATGCTATTTAGTTTTCGACATCGCACGATGGAACAACAAACATGAAAGCTACAGTTCTCCTATTGGATAATTACTGCATGGATGGTTATCTTTTAGCTGGTAAGGTATTTAACCCCAACTGGTGCAAAGAGTTGCTTCTCATTTCTTAAACAACTATGTGGAAAGACACATCTGGTGGTTGTGGAAAAGATGTTAGTCTGTTTGAGAAGGGTCAGATCATTGGCATGCATCAAGCAGAGAAAACATCTGAGGAGATTGCAGAAATGACTAAAACAGGGTTAAGAACTGACCAACTCATTATTAAAAACTGGTCTGATGAGTCCAGATGGACCCTGTTCCAGAGTGATGGGTAGGAAGAGAGGCAGATGAAGTGATGCACCCATCATGCCTAGTGCCTGAATAAACCTGTGAGGGCATTGTTCTGATCTGGGGTTGCTGCAGTTGGTCAGGTCTAGGTTCAGCAACAGGATGTGCTCCAAGTATAGGTCAGCTGACTACCTGAATATACTGAATGACCAGATTATGGATTTTTCCTACCCTGGTGGCATGGGCTTATTCCAAGATGACAATGCCAGGAATTATCGGTCCAGACCTTAACCCCATTGAGAATCTTTGGGATGTGCTGGAGAAGGCTTTGTGCAGTGGTCAGACTCTACCATCATCAGTGCAAGACCTTGGTAAAAAACTAATTCAACACTGGTTTGAAATAAATACTGTGACATTGCAGAAGCTTATTGAAACAATGCCACAGCAAATGTGTGCTGTAATGTAAGCTAAAGGCCATCCCACGACATATTAGGGTGTGACCTTTTTATTTTGTGTCAACTTGTTTGGGGGGAGGGGCAAAAAGTCTAGTACAGCTATAAATATATTTAGGATATTTTAAAAAATGAATTAAGTCCCCTTGTATTTTTCTCAAAAGTCAGCCAATAACACGGCTCACCGACCGAGAGCAAATAATGGACCATCCATTCATATCATGTATTTAGCAACAGAACACAAATGGTGTGAGAGTTTCTCAGCTCAATAACATCAGAGAAGGAGAAACAGCCGGCTGCTACCACTTCAAAATTAGGACAAACTTCCAGAGTCCCAAAAAGAAAAACACCATTTGAAGTCACGCACAACAAAAAGACGTTTAAACCTAGAAAAAAGTGACTGCTGTTAAGCCCAATCTTGTTTCCTCTGGCTACGTGGATTTACGGTATCAGGCAGACGTGACCGATGGATGACGGCTGACGGGAAGGGTGAGAGTTCTGCGACTGTGTTTGTGTTTAAAAGCTAGCTTGTTTTTCTAGCTTTAAAGTGACTGTGGTATTTTCTTTGGTAATAGAGGGCATTAGATACCTAAATCGTTGGGAACTTGCAGTATTTTTGTGTTGGAGTAATACTTTCCCAACAGATGCCCATTAGGGTCAAAAAACCCTGGGGAGTGCAAACTTTAGCTAAATAAAAAGCACATCGGACTCCCTTTCATCACTGGCAACAAGTGAAGAGGTAAATGTGTAAAACGACAACATTTAAGAATGACGAAATTTTTGTAACCGTTTGTTACAAACAGTAAATGCATTTTGTCCTCATGGGCTCCCGTAGAAGGAAACACACCCAGAGACTTAGACCTGCTCCCATGTATTTTAGACCTGATTTTTATGGCTATGTGTTACAAAGCCATCAATATTTTTCAACAACTGAACTTCATTTCATTCAATTTCAACAACATTTTGATGAACATTTTCAGAAATTAATGGTAGAAACTACACATTGTCTCTTTAAGGAAACACATTTACTGATGCAAAACATTTAAGTGTGACAAAAAAGCAAAAACAGATGAAACCTCACTGAGTGAATAATTCTTCAGAGCTCTGTGGGTTTAGCATAGAGCAACAAGTCACTGATAAATAAGAAAAAGTTAATTACTTTAGGTTGTTCTCAGTCACCATTACCGCTCAGTCTAGACATCTAATTTGAAAAAGCCAAATAAAAACAACCATGTAAAACAAAAGCATTCAAGTCAGTGCTCTACAGACCAGACAGGCTATCAAAGTGATTAAATCCTGATTTGATTTGAACTTCTTGGTCTTTTAAACTTTGCAATTTGAATTGTTCCAACAAACAATGACAAAAATGTTTAAAATCTTTCAGTTAAAATACTAAAATCATATCCATTCTCCCAATAAATAAATAAATAACATTGTTCAAGCTGTGAGAATTTAAACAAACAAATAAAATGCAAGAACTTGGGTCACAGTCTCAGATTCTTTTATAAAGTGTGGTGATAAATGACACAGACATGAGGAAACTCGGCGTTGCTCGTGATTGCTGGGCGATCCTTAGATTAAGTCCTGCTGATGTGCTGTCATGTCTTACTGACAAATTTATTGGAACCAAGTCATGATTTGCTTCACTCGTCACTCTCCTGCTAAGACTTGTCTAAATGGCTGATATGCTGTAGCTTTGCTAATCTGGTTAAGAGTCAGATCAAGAGACAAGATTTTAATCTATGGTGATGGTTCTCTTCAAATTCTTTACTGTTTTTTTTTTATCAAACACCAACATTAAATATCAGACAGTGTAAGAAGTTTGTCTTCCATACCATGAATTCAAATTATTAATACTTTAGACAAAGGACACTAGGGGCAGGAATACAACTCAGAATCTATATTTTTCCAGTGTTTAAAGGCATTCTTTGTAACTTTTTCAAAATTTTAAATCATTTTTGGAGCCAGTGAGTGCTAAAATGACCCATTACAGGATACTGAAATGTTAATGAGACCACACCGCTCCCTGTTCCCAGAATACCATACTTGCAACTTCAGAGCTGGCGGGCTGCTTCCAGCACATTTCATGCATGTTTTAGAGCGTGAACACAAACTAATGAAGGCTGAGGAGGCATTTCAGTTGTTAGATTAAGGTTTCATTTTTGGTTTAACCACATTGAAATAATAACGCACACTAGGGAGTACTGAAAGCACCAAAAACTGCCAGGTATCGTTTTTAAAGTTTTTCCCTGCAAAAAGTCAGTTTTTGTTAATTTGGCTGTTTTTTTTCCAGCCAGAAGAAAATACTGCTGTCCTTTCTTGTGAAATTATTTTGAAGCATTTGGTGCACAGTCACACCAACCTTAGGAATCAAGCTTCCTCCAACTATGAGAAGCAGTAATCCCATGAGGGAATTAAACTGTTTTAATCTGTCTTTAAATAATCTTTATGTTTATGCATTTCGCAGAGTCTTTCAACCAAAGCGACTTACAGAATTTACCTGAAGTGCATGTATTTGTCTTGGTTAGAAAGTCAGCACCCAGAGAAAACCCATGTATGCATGGCAGAGCATGCTACCGCCACAGCCGGGACTCAAACCTGACGTCATCCGGCTGTGAGGAAACAGCGCAATGCATGCACTACCATGCAAGTGCAAATGATGCCAAGAGCAGAATAATCACAGTGCACTGATCTTAGTAAGTTAAATAATAATAATTACAAATCCAGTGGAATTAAAACAATAATACTAACGATTTCAGGCAATTTGCAGTGAATCCATTATTTATATGGTCACTTTCTGTCTACCATTGAGTGAGTGAGTGAGTGAGTGAGTGAGTGAGTGAGTGAGTGAGTGAGTGAGTGAGTGAGTGAGTGAGTGAGTGAGTGAGTGAGTGAGTGAGTGAGTGAGTGAGTGAGTGAGCGAGCGATCGAGTGAGTGAGTGAGTAAAATAAATAGGCGTGTTACTTTTGATTACATTTCTTTCAAAAACAAATAAATCTGATCAGGTCAGTTTAAACATTCTGAAATGTTTACCCAGCCCAGAAAACCAGTTTGTCTTTAGATAGGATGATTAATTTTCCATAGTTCTGTCTAAATTCACTTTCCAGACAAATATTACTGTGTTTTTGTGAAATTATTGCTACTGTGATCTCCAGCTGTCGTTGGAGTGGTTCTTAGCTGAGTGTGAAGCAGGTGGGATGAGAATCAGCTCCTTTAAATCTGAGACCCTGGTCTTGAGTCGGAAAAGGGTAGCATGCATTCTCTGGGTCAGGGATGAGGTCCTGCCTCAAGTAGAAGAGTTTAACTATCTCAGGGTCTTGCTCAGAAGTGAGAGAAAGATGGAGCGGGAGATTGACAGGTAGAATGGTGCTGCATCTGCAATGACGCGGGCGTTGTACTGATCTGTTGTGGTGAAAAGAGTGCAGAGTCGGAAGTCGAAGCTCTCAATTTACTGGTTGATCTACGTTCCTACCCTCACCTATGGTCATGAGCTTTGGGTTGGCGGATCGCAGATGCAAGCAGCCAAAATGGGTTTTCTCTGCAGGGTGTCTGGGCTCTACCTCAGAGATAGGATGAAGATAGGTCAGGAGAGACTTGGAGTAGACCCATTGCTCCTCCACATTGAGAGGAGCCCGTTGAGGTGGCTTGGGTATCTAGTTAGGGTGTCTCCTGGACGCCTCCCTGGTGAGGTTTTCCAGGCACATCCAACCAGGAGGAGACCTGGCCAGGGAACACCTTGGGATTCACCCAGAAGAACTGGCTGGGAGGAGGGAAGTCTGGGACTGTCTCCTCAGGCTGCTGCTCCCCTCGACTCGAACTCAGATAAGTGGAAGATGATGGATGGCTAATGCTACATTTCATATATAAAACCGTATCCACTGAGAATTATATATGCAGTTAGAGACTGGTCTCTTTTTAAAAAATAGATGGACTTGATTTCTGTACTCGTGTGTCTGTCTGAGGATTAAAATGCAGTTCAATCCCACGAGATGAAATAGGCCTTAGCAATGTTTAATACCAAGATCGTTTTACTGGAAGTCATGCCAAGTTCACTCTTGAGTTTGGAAAATAAATTGCAGGAGAAATAAAGCTTGACGTTATTTCCCACAAATGCATAATTGTGAGACCACCCGACTCTAATGTAATGTCTGATCATGCAGATTTCCTCTTTCAGCTTTGTTGGTGGTACCTCTTTCTGCTCCCGCCTCATCCCTCCTCTCCATCAGCAGATAACGAGGACTCTCAGGAAGGAAGGGCAGGACAAACAGCTGTAGCACTGCTGGAAAGGCCAGGAAGGAAAACAGGTAAATCCACCTGGACTCCTGCAGTAGGAACACAAACAAAGATGCTACATCAAAGCTTCAGATGCAGAACTGCAACAGCTTTTTGGGACAATACATTTAGCCAAATAGGTAAATCTCACAGCTTCTATACCATGCTTCAATAAAATCACCTTTATTCCTTCCTAAAATGCGTGAAACCTTGATGTTGAAGTATGAATAATAAAATGGTATTTTTCTTAATGCACAAATTGATTTAATAACTGAAAAGTCACTGTGGGTTGAATGCCATCTGCTTTTATAATTAGGAGTGAAGAGCTTTTCAGAGTTACACAACCTGAATTCAAATGGAGAAGTCATAACCGGGAAAGGAATGCTCTTACATATCTAAACAATTAACAAAAATAAATTAAATATGCATGAAAATAATCGTACTGAAACCACGCTTAGAGAAACTTTCCTTTAGTAATACCTCAACCTGTTACAGACTGCAGTAAGTCTGAGTTTTTTTTCACTAAATATTTCTTCTTTCACAGCTTAATTTAAGCATGCAGAATACAGCAGGAATTACTAATTTATTTATTTAATTCAGTAACATTCCTATGTCAGATTACTGGAATTTTACAGAATTCAACCTAATAATTAAAGGGATACTTTGCAACTTTTTCACATTTTTTAAATCATTTTCTTGAGCCAGTATGTTTTATAAAGACCCTTTAGTGTTAATGAAAGGCCACCCAGAAGCTATCGCCCCCTTTGACCAGAATATGCCACTTGGAACTTCAGAGTGCAGGTCCGCTCTGTTGCTGACATACCTGGCACTGTAATCTGCTTCCAGCACATGTTCTGCATGTTTTAGATCATGAACACAGCTCATTTGTTTAATTTAGTGAGGAATCACTCTGAATAAAAAGGGAACTTTTACAACTCATAAGTTAAATGATCATATGTGATGAATGAACAAGATGTTTAAATTAAATCTTTGAATAATATGTGCTTAAATCAATGAAGCTGAAATGAATGTTGCTCTTACAGTGATCCACTGCAGATCTTATGATCAGTATTTGTTTGTATTTGTTAACATTTAACAAGTTAATCATTATCTACACTCAAACACATCTTCATTAGATACAAATTAAGGTTAAGGTTCACCTCACATAACTTTTAAAGATTCTTTATACACAGAATTAAGAATCTTGTATCTGAAGGAAGGAGTGGCGTTCTGAGGTTCTAGGCTGAGTAGCTGTTAGCTTGACCCCTCCATGAGAGTTTCTACTTGGATCTCCACACTAAAGTCACCCTGACAACTGTCCACTTTTCACAGAAACCTATTAACTAAAACTATTTGGCTAAAGGTGTTGTGATCCAAAAACTGAGTCGAGTCAACTGGACTCCTCTCTTGTTGAGTTGAAGCCTTTCACCGTGCATTCCACGTGGCTTCCTCAGTCTGACAAGATTATCGTTGCTCCAGGTTTGCTTTGATTTAATAAAACCTGAATTATCCCTTTGAGTTCGTTTTTAATAGAATAAAATTGCATAAAAAGAGTCAAGTTTTATGATTGTCACAAAAAAAAGATTGGTTGTAAAATAAAAAATGGTTCTAATGCAAATATTTGTTTATTTGTGTGAGAAACACTAACTCTGTCTAAACAAAGGACATATTTTATAACTTTAGTTATGAATATGCCCATGTGCTTCATCTACTTCTGCATATTTCAAAATCAAGCATAGAAATAAAATTATAAAACGATTTTCAATTACTGAAGATGAAACATAACTAAAGCCAGAATGACGTTATTATGTTATCTGGCAGAGCTGCTTAATGACACATTATGGAATATTTATTTTTATATTTCTGAGTAATAAATTGGTGATTATCCAGCTCCTTTCAGTGAGTCTGTGCAGTAAACGGATGGGATGACTTTCTGTAAGTCTGCTGATTCTGAGCCGTGGCCTATCTTAAACCAGCAAGAGATAAAGTGTCTGATTAAATTAAAATTCTTCTTCCCTGACAGGCAAATAATCCGCTCTGCGAGTATTGATTCCAGTGCTTGATTCCATTAACAACTCAAAGGAACTTGATTCTTTTTTTCATTGTTTTTAATGAGGTTTTGTAACTCTGTGAAAATTGACTGCACTGTCGAAACCGTGTTTCTTTGGATCAAGCACCTCAATGAGGTTTCAAGACATAAAACAATTATATCTGCCACTACGGTGATGACTTTATTCCCTTTTCATTTGGGCTGTTTTGTGTCTAATTCAGCATCCCGTCTCTCCATGCACCATTTCTCACTCATCCCTGAGGCCACATTTCATTTATTGTTTGTGTTTCACAACTCGTTGATGTTTAGTATCAGTATTTCTTTTTCATCACTGATATACTCTCCCTCTTTCTCCTGACTTTATTAGCTTGACCATGAGGCATCATGGTCTAAAATCTAAAATCCCCAATTTCACAGATTCATAAACAATTGTTGCAAAATCAAATTTCTAAACTTTCAAAATTTAATGAGTCTATCAATACAAATGAGCGTACATTTTTCTGCAGGAAGTGCCCAAGGCCTCACAGAAAACCCTTCAGCTTGTAGTTGTTTGCACTTTCAAAAACCATTTCATTCATAAACATGAAATCCAACTCTGACTGACTGGAGTTGTTTTACAGCAACTAGCACTAGCTAGCCTTTAGCTCATCAATCCTATCACTATTATTTCTCTAAATTCAAATGATTAAAAGATCTGTCTATAGCTGATTAGATTTTAATTGATCATAATCATTCTTCAAAAACATTTTAAAAGACAAACTTGTTCTTTGAGGATTTCCCTCACTGTTAGAAGCTGCATATTGGTGCAAATGTCCTATTTGGTAAAGAGCTTACAAGTAAGTCATGTCATACATGTCGCATAAAAAAAAACCAAACCTGTACAGTGCATTGATGTTGTGCTTTGGGCCCCAGATTCAGCCCTCTGCAGCCCTGACTGAATTCTCCTTACTTAGATCAACAGTTCTCTGGAGCCGTTGTGTTTCTGTTTAATAACAAAGGTAAAACGCCAGAAAGCTTCTAAACAGAAGGCACACAGAGTAAGAGTGTTGTTTGTAAAAAATCTCACGCCACCAGAATCTCAGCCTTTGGCTAACTGCATGTGGGCATCGGCAAGGATCAGAAGAAAAGCCCATCATCCCTCCGCCTGCAGCTGTTGGGGATGAATGTCACCTTCTCCATATAAGCCTATTTTGCTGATGCTCTGCCATGACAGCAAACTGACAGTTGTCCTTTAGCAGATGTGTATTGTCCAACTGTTAGATAAATAAAAGTAAAATATATTTGAATCGGGACATGATGATGGGAATGCTAGCTGCTTCTCAGGCGTTCAAACGTCTTTATCAGATGTGTTATAACAGAAGTCTGAAAGCGGGAAGCAGAGCAAAACACTGAAAATCTTCAGTTATGTTTTCACTCTGATGATGTTAGATGGTTTTGTTTCATACATATTAGTTATCAGACGTGGAAATTGATTGGTGAGTGTATGGCTTCATTTTCACCACATCAGAATCAAAATCCTTGAGATACTCGAATTCCTCCACCAGGAACAGTGACCTGTTTCCAACCCAGAGTGGACAACTTTTTCCAGTTTTGTACAACAACCTCGGCTGATACAAGATGATATTCATACCAAATACCTTTCTTGTTACCTCGGGCCAGATATAATGGCATTAAACTCCGTCTGGAAGAAACAACAGCTGGTGTATTTTATAAAGATTACAGAAATCTTGCAGGGCAGCTGATTTCAAATAGATGTTTGCACATCAAACAAGTTTCCTGGAAGATTCAACTCTAGTGAGAATGCAAGTCTGACAACAGAATAAGACCTAAAGCACGCAGATAAAACAACTTTAAAAACACTAATCATGAAGCAATATCACTTAAATAGTCAAGCTGCACCAGTGTTCATTTTGTTAAGTAGATATTTTAGTTTTTTTTTTTGTGGCAAACGAATTTTTGTGAACAAATAAGAAACGAGAACCAAAATTTAAATACTTCTATAAAAACAAAATATTGACGAACGTTGATCGAATTTTTATCAACGAATGAAAGGTGACAACGAAATTTGACAGAAAACGAAAAAGATGGGAGGACGGAAAAAGGAACCAATCAGCAAATGGAACAGGCGGGACTAGATGAGGAAAGAACCAATCAGAGTCTGGAGCCGGCCGCTGTTTGAACAAGCTACGGGTAACATTTGAACAATTTATGTCTAAAAAGAGAAAATGCCCACAGCTGGGTGGAAAAGCATTAGATGTGGCGATCTGAAAACTATTTGCTTGGTGAGTACACATCTGGAGTTTCACCTGGTCATAAAAGTGTTAACGGTGGTAGCAGTGAACGGGGACAGGAGGAGATTAGATTGCTGTAGCCAAAACAAACTAAACGTGCAGATTGGCGCATCTGGTTGTTTAAACGTTTTTCTCGTGGTGCTGCTACGGCCGATATTATCTGTGTTCGGTGTTCTTGCAGTGATTTTGTGAGGAAACAAACATTCAGGCAGCCCACCTTGGTGAATTAGTGCAGGGAAACCTATGATACAAACACCTGAAAACAATTCTTACCGCTAAGTTACCTCTTTGCATTATTAGAGTAACAATGTTTACTGTTTTTATGGTATGATAACATTTCATGTGATGTTTACAAATATTAGTGTTAATGAATCAGATTTGTTAACTTTATTAACCCTGAGAGAGACAATTTAAAACTGTCAGTGTTCACTTTGGTAATTATTTTTAAAACAATTATAAATATAGTTTTATTAATTCAAAGTGTGAAATGTGAATTTTTCATATTTGTTACAGTTTCAAGTAGGTGTAGTTAACATTTCCTTTACAGAAGTAGAAAAATGTTTGCATCAGAAGAAAAATGCATCTATTTTAGTGGATTAAATTAGATTAAAATTAAAACAAATTGGACGACTAAATTGAGACTAAAAAGAATTTTAGTCAAAAGACTAAAACTAAATTAAAAGTTCTTGTCAAAATGGACACGGAGCTG